AATATGAGGCAGAGACGTTGGGTGGAATTCCTTAAGGATTATGATTTTCAGCTCCAATACCATCCAGGAAAAGCTAACGTGGTGGCCGATGCATTAAGTAGGAATGTGGTTCAGGCATTTTCCTTAAGAGTTAGTGAAACTCTTTTGGTAGAACAATTCCAAGACCTGAACATACATGTAGACTTATCACCTGAAAACATTAGTTGTAGCCGAATTGTGGTGACTAATAATTTCTTACAGGAAATTAAAGACAAACAACTGTGGGATCCGATGTTATGTCGGATTGTATTTCTCTTAGGGACAGATAAAGCAAAGGGTTTTAGTAAAGGTACTGATGGTATTCTCAAATGCCAAGGTCGAGTTTGTGTCCCTAGAGATACTGAATTAAAGAGAGAAATTCTAGAAGAAGGACATAAGGGTAGTCTCAACATTCATCCTGGTGTTACCAAGATGTATCAAGATTTAAAGCAGATGTTTTGGTGTCCAGGCATGAAGCGAGAGATAGCTGAATTTGTTAAAGCTTGTTTGACTTGCCAGAAGGCAAAGGCGGAGCACCAGAGCCCTCCAGGAGAGTTGCAGACGATGGAAATTCCAGAGTGGAAGTGGGACCATGTGACTATGGACTTTGTGTCCCATCTACCTAGAACAGTTAAAAATCATGATGTCGTATGGGTCATAGTTGATAGGCTAACCAAGAGTGCGCATTTCTTGCCAATTAACATGACCTATAGCTTGGAGAAATTAGCAGAATTGTACATTAGAGAGATTGTCAGGTTACACGGAGTACCTTCTAGTATTATCTCTGATAGGGATCCTCGATTCACTTCCTAGTTTTGGCAGAGTTTCCAAGAAGCTATGGGCACACAGTTGAGGTTGAGTTCTGCATATCATCCGCAGACAGATGGTCAATCTGAGCATACTATTCAGACCTTAGAGGACTTATTGCGGACTTGTATTATAGAGCAGAAGAGTAATTGGGAGGATATGCTTCCTTTGGTAGAATTCACTTATAATAATAGCTACCATTCGAGTATAGATATGGCACCATTTGAAGTTCTGTATGGCAGAAGGTGTAGAACCCCTATCTGTTGGTTCCAAGATGGTGTACATTTGATGGTTGGGCCTGAAATGTTGCAAGAAACTAAGGAGAAAGTTGAACTTATTAGAGAAAAGCTGAGAGCCACCCAGAGTCGACAGAAATCTTATGCTGACCGACGCAGAAGATCCCTAGAATTTAAGGTTGGTGATCACGTATTCCTGAGAGTATCACGCACTACAGGTGTGGGGCGAGCCTTAAGAGCCAAGAAGTTAACACCTAAATTCATAGGACCATATCAGATATTACATCGTAGAGGACCAGTAGCCTATGAATTAGCACTACCACCTCAGTTGTCAGGACTACATAATGTTTTCCATGTGTCGCAGCTAAGAAAGTATGTTCCTGATTCGTCTCATGTAATTGAGCTTGATGTTGTGGAGTTACGAGATGATTTGTCTGTGGAGGTCTCAGCTGCTCGTATCGAGGAAGAGGCAAATCTATTCGGTTAGTAAAAGTTGTTTGGGACCCAGTAACTGGTGATGCCACATGGGAGTTAGAGAAAAGAATGAGAAAGTTGTACCCTCATCTTTTCTCTGAGTGATGAAATTTTCGAGGACGAAAATTTATTTTCGGGGGGAAAATTGTCAGGCCTGTGATTTATTATTGAGTAATTTATAATATTTTATACTTGTTAAATGTTAATTGAAGGATTAATTTGGTATTGGAATAGATTTAGATGGAGTTTGAAATTATTTATAAAAATTAAAAAAAAAAAAAGTGAACAGTACCGTATGAACAGTGTCAGATGAACAGTAAAACCGCCTATGAACAGTGCAAACCGCGTACAAACCGTGTATGAACAGTGCAAACCGTGTATGAACAGTGAAAACCGTGTATGTATAGCGACCGCTGACGTCACATACGCGTACAGTGCATGTACAGTACGCGTGCACAGTATTTCCGGGGTGAATAGTGCCCTGAACAGTGTTTCCGGCGTGAACAGTAAGGCGGTGAACAATGTTTCCAGCTGTGAACAGTAAATTCCGGCGATGAACAGTAAATTTTGAAAATTTTCTATAAAAAGGGGGCTTCACACGAAATTTTCATTTCTTCACCCCTATCCAAGGTTCTCAAAGGTTCTAAGGCCAAATACCACCATTTCTCTCATACTAAACCTTCCTAAACTTAGATTTCTTGTCAGATCTGAGATTCTACGTCTATTCTGAGGGATTTGAAGTAAGTTTCTTTAAGTTTGAAGCTAGATTTACCGTTCGTTTCTCTTCTTCTTCTCTTTCTCATAGAAGTTCATGGTGTTCTTAGGAGAAACTCCGTTCTAAAGCCAAATCTTCGGTGAATCTTGCTATAAAACAAGTAATATTCGGTAGATCTAGTGTGAATCGTCGTTCTGAAGTAAGGGGAGTTTACTTTAACCTATGAACTACGTTTTGAACGGTTTAATATGCTATTTCAAGATGTTTTGATATGATTTTGTTAGATCTTTTGAATAAAAGCTATTTTCTAAGCTGTAACTGCTGTTAATTGATTTAAAATGCTGAGATTTTGGCTGATCTATTATAAACTTGCTTTAGTTGAGCTGTTAAAATAACTTTGGCGGTGTGCATCATGCTGAGATATATATTTTGCATCATTATAGAGCCGAGTTACATGTTTAAGTGGGTAGACATGTAACGGTAAGTTCATGCTGAGCTGCTGTGCTGTGCTGTCTGGATCCAGATACCGGAATGGGTCGCTCCTGGACCGGCTCGGTTCCTTCTGGATTACTTAGGCTGTGAAACCAGTTGAAAACCGTTTTCATGCTGTGCATCAGATGGGCTGGAAATGCATGGGATTATTGCTGTGAGAAATATTTTGCTCTATATATATGATTTTATTTTAAGTTTGGTAAGCTCACCCTTGCATTTCTTTCTATGTCGTTGTGTGCGTGTGTACTGCAATGATCGTACGGTGGTACGTGAGCAGATGTAGCAGGTGTTGCATCTACTTCACAGGCGGAGGGGCCAGTGAAGAAATGTTAGAAGTTAGGGTCGAGTAAAATTGCATCAAAGTCTTTTTTCCCTTATATTTTGAGACCTCATGTAGAGGGAACTATATAGTATAATTTTTGGGTATTTTGGATATTATGAACTAAATGTAATATTATGTTGTTCTGTTGGATATTTGTTGTAAGAAACTTTGTTTTATTTTAATTGAGAAGAAAATTTCATACTTATATTCTCTATTATTTATTTACCTTAAATAAGTATGTGATGTAGAAACAATGTTCTCGATTCCTTACAAAAAGGGGTCGTGACATTTTAGTGGTATCAGAGCATGGTCTAGGTAAACCTACGGGGTGAGGTTGTCAGACGTCAGTTGTGCATATTAGACATGTCAATTTTAGCTGTGAATCATATATCATAATTTCTAATCATCAGGTTGTGAGGGAACGAGCTTAATCACCTCGGTTCTCAAACACGACAGATGTAGGAAATCTTGGTATATGATACTGGGGTGAGCTATAGGCGATTCATGCTGCATGAATAAAAAGTTGTTAAGCTAAGCTATAAATGATTGTTGAGATAAGTGTGTTTGCTATGCTGTGTGAATGCTGATATGATGTTATCCTCAGTGCTAAACTGATTAAATTGTTATGATATACTAAATATGCAGTAAGCGTAATGCAGGTATGAAGCACTTGAAGCAAAGTTGTATATTTCTAGAAGATGGGATATAATCAAGGTCGTCCATCATAAGGATGTGTAGCTCGAAACTTCTAAACCTAAGAAGAGCAGTAAGCTTTTTACAAACGTTGATGCATCAACTTGAGCAATATACAATAAAATAAAAAATCTTTTGTAATTCATTAGGTTAATTCAAAATTTATTAGTTAGAGACATAACATTTTAAAAGTAAGTTTTAACCTTCCTATAGTGTTGAATTGTATAAATATTATTTTTTATAATTTATTATATATGTATATATATATATATATATATATATATATGTAATAATAATTAGATAAGTTGGATACCTATCCATAAAAAATAGTTAATGAATTTTTTAAATAAATTATACATTTTAACACATTTTTAATGGATCAAACTAGATTAATATTTTATTTTTACCATCCATTACGATTTGATTTAAAATTTATCCAATCCCTTCATTTGACACTTCTAATACATCTTCCTTTGCTTAACGTTTGTGAAAGCATCTCCAAAAGTAAGGCATGGCATGTGACTTAGAAAAGGCCACCAAGTTAGGTCATGCAAACCATTACCGTGTAGTATTATCCCAAGATGACGTACAAAATGACTTCAACTCACTTTTAAAAGCATGTTTTTTCATTTGATCGAAGTATGGGGTCTGAATGAATGGCATAATAAAGCGTGCAAATACACGTGAGAACACATGCTACCCACTGTTCATGGGAGATAGAAATTCAAGCTGATTTTGGGAGACATCTAATCCTGAAAACTTTACTAATTTGTTGTGTCGGGAACAGAGTCTCAAAAAAATATACTAACAAAAGAAGTTTTAAAATGGGGAACTTAAAATGTATGAATTCAATTGATTGAGGATGGTTTGGCACAAATCTTGCTAAATGAGAAGTCGGCAGTTATAGATTCAATTCAAATTCTATCCATTCAAGGATTAAAGACATTGTAGGTAGAAAGTTTGGGACCCGAATGAGCATCCACCTGATCAAGAGATGCACATATATCATGGTGCATGTGGCCAAGTGTGCTGATAAGACAAGTGTAATTAGTGCGTCAAATCCGAAACAAGAACAATCACTTTTATGTAAAATTAGTCAATTAAACCTATATTAATGTATACAACACATAACTCGGGCAAGAATCCACTTTCATAATTAATCAGATATATTTAGCCAAAAAAGAGTCTAATATATGAACTTTAACCAAGAAACGTTGAATTGACAAACAAGCGTCTTCCATGATACTTACTATGTATTCAATTTTGGTATTACTGATTTCACACTATCAGTAAACCATATAGCGCCCCTTGATGACTTGAATAAAAAACTATTGAACTGATTTTGTACAAGTGTAAAAGCTTAGTTACTACGACCATACATAGTACTCTCTTGTATACACATAACATAAAAATAATAAGTGTTTCAAAATTTAAATTCAAACTCAATATTTATGTGTTCTTCGGCAAAAGAGTTAGGTGATGGCAGCATGCGTCATCCCCTTTTTGTACCTACAAATATTTATCAAGTGCACACTTGATATGGACATGTATATAATAAACATTATTGAATCACCTGATCTTTTATTCGACTTGTCAAAACGTTAGCAGAATAAGCATATTGATTCCGTGAAGTTATTAAGTGCACTGCACCATAAAATGACGGATCTATACTGTATCAAGTCAAATCAATATGTTTGATGGGCTTTCTCAACAGAATTCCTCAGTAAGGATATTACTTGAGCTGGCTCAGGAGCTCTGAACACTGAATTTCCAGCAACAATGCAGTTTGCCCCTGCTGATGAAGCTACGTCAATGGTTGAAGGCCCCAAACTACCATCAACCTGCAATTGACGTTGAGCATCTTTTGATCATTGCAAAACAATAATATTACCAGTGTGCATGAGCTATAACACAAGCATTTCAATTCAACATCTTCAATCTTCATGGATACAATAATTGAGTACTTAGATATAACATCAAAACGAAAGTAATGGTGAGAAATAACTGTTGCTGCCTTTGTCATTAAACAAGTGGTGAGAACATAAAAATCAATCAAGTAAAAAATCACAATAATCTATATGAAGAAAATTCTTAAATATGCATCTAACTTGACAAAAAAGAAGTTAAAGACAAGAAAATAAGCTGAGATGCCTCTATGTCAAGGGATGGATACTTCTTCCTCAGTATACGTACCTGATTTGAAATTTCAAAATGCAAAGAAAAATTAACCAAAAAATCGATACAACTAGCATAGTCGACAAGAGTTGTCAGCCACAAATAATAATAAAAGAAAGAGTGATGATACCTTATCCATCATCTCTGGCATAAATTTTTGTCCTGCAAATCCAGGATCTACAGTCATTACAAGAACCATTTCCCAAGATTTTCAGCTTCTACCTGTGAAAACACAAAAAAAGACAAAATAAACACAAAACCTTCTTAAGACTTAGAGCTTCCAGCCAGAGATATAGTATCTGTTATCTAGTCAACACACAAAAACTTACAATAGTCACAGGATAAAGATGATTACGAAATCCAGCTATGCAGGTATGATCACATGAGAAACAGAGTGGGAAAAATGCATACCAAAGGATAAACCTCACCTATGGGTGTCCCAGGCTTTAATGCTACACTAGGCCTCATGCCCTGTGACTTAATTCTGTGGATAAGTTCTTTCTATTCACAAAAATCATTTTTAAGAAGGCTGAAAATGGAATATTATATACAGTAGGCAGAAGAAAACAGTATATGAGCAAGGAAAACCAAAAGAAAGAAGTATAAGGACCATTGTTGGTGCCTCTTTATGAAATGTAAACCAGAAGCACCAGTTTTGCCAAAGGTTCAACATAATCAAGAGGATTTGTAACCATAAGGTGAAAATCGAGATAAGCCCTGCAAGGGTTAATGATTAATGACTAAAATGCATCATACATCATCCAAATAGGCAAAACAAATTCTGCATAAAATCATCCAGATGTGAAAAAGGAAGTTTGTTATTTTGTGTGTTTTCTCAAACTTTCAATGACTGGAGCGCCAATAGTTAATTGGGGACAAAATGCCTGCACAAAATAGAGGGAAAAGGGGGAAAGGAAAGGAAACATGTTCAGTAATTTAATGGCCAAACTCACTACACAGAGATAGTGAAGTTTAATAATAAACAAAATTAAGGACCATGATGTGACTCTAAGTCATCCATAGCAAGACCAAGTCAAGTTGATGAACTCATGAACAAAATACCCTTCCCATTATTATGACCTCAATTGTTAATGCTGGATAGTACTAGCACCCAAACATTTTAATCTTTAGTTTTATGCTTCACACGAATGCAAGCAGAAGTTTGAAAGATAAATATTGCCAAGTTCTGCTGGAGTTTCTCTTATTTTCCTTCAATTAGATGATCATCCAACTTGAAACTTGCATAGTTAATTGCCCAAATTGCATTCCCATTCCATGTCACTTTTATAATAAAGGCATTCTGCCTAATGTCAATACAGTACAAAATAATTTATTTGTTTCAAAAACAATGAATTAGATGACAGGTAGAAAATTATGATTCAATCAGAAATCCGTCACCAGAAAGTAGCCTTAAGATTGAAGAGTTTAGGCATCTGCTGCATGTTTGTATGACTACCAGCCATAAACAATTACTGTGTACAAGCAAATATGTAACAGAGGAATGTAGCATAGATCAAAATACTTAGCTAGATGAATTGAAAGGACTATAAACACCAGGATGAGGTGGGGAAAAAATATTCAGCCAGGGCCTCAGTCACATTAATGCAGTATTGAAAAAAGCTGTGATGAAAATTGGGGTAGCTAAGACAGCAATAGCGAAAAACCAAAAGCTACAACACTATGCTATATAAGTAGTTGATATTGGAGAAATTTATAGTAGATAATGCAGCACAGATTAGAAATGAATACCCTATCTGAACCAGAGAACCTAGACTGAGAACACGAGGTTACTTTGATCCTGTTATTGTTGTTATTGAACATGACTGAAGACTCACATTCTAGTTCTGCCGATAGAACAGCCTTATGGTAAGCATGATTTTGAACACAGCTAGCAACACTCTTTCATATACACTCTTATTATTGGTAATATTGGCTAAAATTTATTGAAAAACACAAAAATCATGTTGAGCTCACCCTTAATTAAATGATTATCACTTATACTTAGTAGTTTTCATAAATTTCAGCCAATAAGAGAGTGCATTCGTTTAACTTCTTTAGTCATGAATATAACTATACAGTATCCCAACACACAACGAGATCAATCACCATTGAACTAGAATTTATATCCGATTTAACTAATATGCAAGAATAATTACTTTGAATAAACTGAAGAGTATAATATTCACAGTTAACCCAAACTAATTACATCTGAAGGCAAGAAAAAAACAAACGCTATAATCCATTATGCTAAAACTGCTGAACCTCAAAACTAGAAAAGCACAAGGGAATAAACAGAACTTCAGCTTAGAACCCAGTCAATAGTGTAAAGAAAGGGAGAAGAAGAATGAAAATACCATGATGTCCATGAAGAGCTAAACGGCGCCGCACTTGAGCATGCGATGAGCCGCCGAAGGGGAGCGATTTGGGTGCCACTCCAATCGCTCTTTTGCCTTCAACTATTATTGAATGCATATTAATAACTCTACAATAAAACATGTTTTATACAAACTAGAAATATACAGAATTAGAGTTACCTACATAGCAAGCAATACAAAAAGATACTCCATTATCCATAAGAAACTGAGACTAGTGATCAGAAGAAGAATTGATGGTCCACAATTCTTGAGTGAAAGAAGGTTTAACTTGGATGTTGTGGTGATGGTCTTATGGGCCTCACAAACAACTCAAGAGAAAGGAACGATGTAGATCATCGTTATAGAAAGTGGGATGTAGGTGCTTGTTGTCCTAGACCATTCTGTTACATAAAAAACGCGACAAATCATATGTATATTAACTAGTTATGCTCTTAGTCGTGTACCAAAGGACCTCAATGGTCAAACTCGATGGGGCATTGGGGGTGCATAGGTGGAATGATGGCTTCCACATCTTGAGAGCTGCCAACTACGATAGATGCATCTAGAAAGAACACTAAGAAAGAAAGGGAGTGAGACATATAGCATTATTCACAAAATCAATGGATAAACAACAATCAAAAAAAATGCATACAATTTTATACAAAATCAATACATACACACGAGTATGTTACATGCACATGTTCTTATACTTATGACACCCTACTATGTTATGTAGGTGGACTCAAACATTCCTCTAAAAAGTATTCAAGAGCACCCATTTCTATAATAGTATTGGCTTTTTCATCAACAATGAATAGTCTCCATTAACTTGGATAATCTTGAGATCTAGTTGGGGTAGTCACACTTTAGTTTTGAAGTCTCTCAACTACAATGAAGTTATTTCGGACCATCAACACACATACCCTTTAGACTTATGTAAAAGTTAACTACTTGGAATTTTTGGTGCACGAAGCCACACATGTCTTCTTAGACACATCTCAACAAGATCAATGCTGATGATGCATGATACAAACTCAAATTGTATCTCACCTTTAGAAAACATTTTTTTAGCTTAAATATTTATATCATGTAACAAAATTTATTTTGACAAAAATAAATACAAAAATGCAAACTTTCTCTCAACTCATGCATTATTTGTTTTTTCTAAAATTATTGATATCACATAAAATGTTTAACTAATTTAAATTCAATTATAAAAAATACATTATTTTGATTTAAATAAATTAAGTATATGTAAAAAATTATACAAATACACATTAAGAATTATAAATTTTTTCAAAGTCTATAATCATAATTCATGATTAAATGAATTTAAATTTAATATTTGTGTAAAAAATTTATGTCTTGTACAACGACATGTTTGACGTGTTACTATAATCTTTTTAACATTGTAATAATTAATCTTTATAATGATTTAACAATATCAAATTATATAATAATTTAATCCCAAATTTTTATAATAAATGCTTTAAAATTAAGTTATATTTAATATTATATATATATATATATATATATATAGTTTAATTTGTTCTATGTTTTATGTAAACTATAGATATAAAAATATTAGAAAAGTGTACCTCAAAGCTGTTAAATATAAAAATAGATTATTTTAATGGTAGTTTATAAGTGGTTAAAAGTTTATTTTATGTTAATTAAATTAATTATAATTTTTGAAGTTAAACTTATGGTGATCTCACTCGTTATTTTAGTCTCTTAAACTTGTACATTAAATACTAAATAAAAACACATTAATCTAGATTTTATTGCATGTGATTTTTAATTGACTCTTTTAATTAGAGTTGAATTGCATGTTTTGTTTATTAAAATGTAATTATTTTTTAGAATGCTTAAGAATTAATATTAAACATACATGAAATTAATTATGTTTAAATAATTTTTTATCCATAACATTTAGTGACTGGTCAAGCCATGTAATATTAATTTATTAATGCATAATTTTTTAATTAACAATAACTAATTACATAATGCAAGTAATTGACAAATTTATTAATAATTAAAACAAGAATATATATATATATATATATATATATATATATGAGTTAAGATCTATTGACACTAAGTGTCAAACTTTGACGCTTACACTTTTTAATAACTTTTTTAAAATGTAAGATTAAAAAATTTAATTATTGAATTATCTGATATTGTCTGCATGATTATGTATATCAAATTTTGCACATTTATAGATATTGTATGAAAATTTTGATGTTTATTTATATTTTAAAAAAATAATGTAACATCTTCATGTTATTCAAAATAATATGAAAATAATTTTATAATTGAGAAAGAATAATTTAGTTAAATTCATTTGTCAGTCGAATATAGCACATGAAATTATAAAATATTTCGTTCATTTTACTCAAACTTATAAATACTTAAATAACAAAGTAATAGAAATTAAACAAATTTAAGAGAAAACATTAAAATAACATTAATATATATACCAGAGAACCCAAAGTGGATCAAGGAAGAAAAATAAAAACTGAAAGAAAAGTAGATAGTAGCAGGACTACTAAATGTAATGCAGAAATATAAAGTGCAAAATGTACATAAGTAAATGTAAAACATAAAAAATTAGAACGGTGGTAGAACTAGCACAAATCTAGTGGAGGGAGAAGGGAAGAAAGTTAGACGATGGTAATCCAAACAGAACTAGCTGAGAGAGAGAAGATAGAAAATATATAGAAACAAGATTTTATTAAAACTATAAAGAAAGCTTATAAAAGTCCACAAATAACCAGATATGGAAGAAAAAGTTATAAAGTATCTAACAGTTTTTATGGAACTAAATGATGGTGATGAACAAGAAGTTTAATTTTATGATGTCAAAACTCCTCCACTCCTTCTCTCGTATCTCCCTGTGCTCTGATTCTATCTCATCCTCCTCCTCTCCTACCAAAAAATTACTCTTCAATGATTAGGAAAAACAGTCTCCTGAAATCACTTCAAAATATATTTCAGAAATCTCTCAAAATACATTATATGTGCCTGAAGAATAAACCAACAAAAATAGCTCTAATTATTATCAAGACTATTGAGAACAATATTCCCCTAGGTCAAGACATAGGAGAAGAGTTCCACCTCTTGTAGAAACATTCGATTAATGACTACAAAAGAAAATACAAATACCTCCATATACGATGTTTTTAAGTAGCAATTAAATCTTTGATAGACATAGGTATAGATGCCGCTATCTTAATGTGTTTTAAGGATGTTTGACACAAGTTTAAAGATTTCTTAATAGGAACAGTATAAACCAGTCTCGGTCAAAGTCTGATTTATTTCAACTGTTTCTCAAACAAAACATTGAGTCTTATGGATGTAAATATTTTAGACTCTCTGTTTCTTAATATTTGCTTTCATGGTTTAGACATGAAAGATGGATCTATTCCCGCAGCCTTAATCTATAAGATTCAATACAAGGTCATGAATTATTGTGCTTCTAGAGTCCTTCTCAAATCGCAAAAAGGTGAGACAACTTTGTTTATTACTGATATGACAAAGACTAATATCTCTTTACCTAGGATCATCAAGTGAGATGAGGTTACTCTCCCAAAGAAGTGGGTTATGGATAAGGCTACGCCTTGTATTCCTAAGCCTACTCTTCAAATTCAAG